ATCGCTGTCCCAGTGTGACCTGCTTGGATGAATCAGTTCATTTTTTACGACACCGAAGTACGCTCCACTACGTTATTTAACGAGCTGTGCCCTAAGATTGCTTTAAAACGTGTTCAACGGGTTTGTGAAGCATGTGGGGATGAGTTTACTTGCAGCGAGTCAGAGTGGCCCATCTTTCCGTGACGTAAATCCAAAGACAGCGGTCTCAAATAAAAAGCGTTACTATTAGTAACCAAAGACCCTACGATAGCAAGTACCGAAATAAAACTGTCGTAAACCTACTGGCTTTTCAGACAGCAAACTTTACACATACTCCAACTGTGAATTATGAAGTAAATGGGTGAGTACTTTGTCAAAGAGCACATCAGATTACGTTTTCAATAATGTTATTATGTACAAGGAGGTTAATGTAAACTTTGAAAATCGATAAGCATCTTTAAATGATGAGGCAAAAACTAAAAAATAAGTTTCATGAAGGCAAATCGCTGTCGGATATGGGGAAGTTATCAGTGAAAAAATATACGACGGTTAGGGAATACACGAAAACAACCTCGATAGCGAAATGTGTCTTTCATGTACAATATTGCTTTGTAGGAGTGGGATGTGGAAAAAAACAGTAAACTACTGTTGGCTACTGCTATTGTATTTTACGAAGAACATAGCCCTCAAGACATAAACTTTTTTTAGTTGACTATGTTGTAATTTAAAGTCCGCTTGCGTTAACACTTGTGTTCGGCTGAAAACTGAACCCCAAGAACAGGTTTAAAGACTACAGTTAGGCAACTAACTCAAGTTAATAACAAAGTGTTAACACGAAACCAAGATACGAAAAAAATAGTTAAGAAAAAAAGGTAATCGATAAACGACAGAAACGAAGGGTTAAGTACAAATGAGACGGTCGAAGAAAAAAACAGAGGTACCAATTATCACTCCCATAATTACTAAGCCACAACCATCAGGCTACTATCAACCCTGTTGCTTAGATTAGAGCCCAATTTTAAATTACGTACTCGCGGGCAAATACTGGTACGTATGTGCCAGAATAGCCGAACACACCAAACATTATTGAAAAGGATATAGTTGTTGCTTTTTTTTCGAAGGCATGGCGGACAAAATCACGAAATACTCACCTTCACCTGTTCCTGAGCTGAGAACGTAGCGAGTGACATTCAAGTTTTCCCACACTATAAGTGAATCCACGGCTCCCATTTCAAGGGCTCGGAGAGTGTCATCGACACCGAAGCAGAATTTGCCCGTGTCCTAGTAACGGCGATTATATTAGGAGACAGATTACCTGGGATATTTCGTCAAAGTAACGTTGAATAAGTTTCTTTTCTTGTATAAACTTGACGCCGGCAAGGGTGTCACTCGCCAGTTCGATAGCTTGGTTGAAGCCACTTTCACCGCCATAAGATATATCTACAATTTTGAGCACCTTGGCTTGCAATCGCTAGGAAACAATAGAAGGTAAAAAAGCACGAACCGCGTCGAACATCCCAGACTGGCTTAAGTCGCTTTTGAAATCGGCAATACCGGCCAAAATAAGACCTTCGACATTAACCTTGTCATTCGTGATGAACATCTGAACGGCAGTTTCAGCAACCTTTCGAACGTAATTGTGACGTTTCTCCATTCTCAGTCGGGCAAAACGGACGGCGGACTGACCTCCTCGTCCGTGCTTTTTAGGTAGTTCAACGTTGAACTTATGCAAGACTTCACGGGTGTTCCCAGAGAGGGTGCCGAACAGAGCTCCGTTACCATCCATGATTATAAATCCAAACTTGCTGTCATCGGTGAGAAGCGCGTTGAGTGCCTAAAAAAACAACAAATTAAAGCAGGTGCCCTACTTCGGTGTGGAATTTGTTGTCACATAAGTACAGGGATGTGTTGACGGGGCGGAAGGGTTCAAAGTCAATGTTGACTTTCTTTTCCTTGCCGTCATCGGTAATGATTGTTCCGCAATAAACAACGAGACCGTTGTTTGGCACTGACGCTGTTAAGAGATGAAGTCCCAAGTACCTCTATTATAAAGTTTCAGCCTTTGTTGTACAGAAGTTATAGCACTCAAGACGGACAGTCTGTTGACCCGACTTTTTATGTTCGAAGCAGTGCCATATTCTTCAGCTAACATTTTGGCTATACGGGTTATTTGGTCCCTTGGTGGTATAATCAACGAGATCATACTGGTACCATTACTACACAGGATAAAAGCAAAAAGAAGCCACTTGCCCACGCGCAGCCTCCAAACTTTTAATAAGCTTTTTAATTCTCCACATCTCCACATTCTTGTCGGCCTGCGTGACGGCGGTTTCGCCATTTGCAGCTGCCATTCCTCAATATGCGGCCGACAATCACGGCTCAGGCTATTTAAAAGTGCCGCGTATCGTCTATTTTTCCGCGTGTTGAAGCAGTCAAGTTGAACCTTTAATACAAGGCCTCAGAGATTCAGTTCAGTTCAGTCGACTATTTGGAAGGCCAAATACAAGTGTGCATTAACCTCACCTTCCTTTAATACGAATGATCAGCGAATACATCTTTGATTCTTTCGTTAGTGTTACAAGTTAGTAATTGTAGCGTAAGAAAATTTGGTCAGTGTAAGAGAAGAAATCTTCATCAGATAACCTGGTCAGTTAAGGATAAAAATAAAAGCTTCCTCTTCCAATTAAAGCATCTTTAGTCTTTTGTTGCTTAATATCCAAAAGCTCCATTTAGGTATTTCATTCCGAAGACCAGCCGGCTAGTGGAAAACCTTAAAAGGCTAAAGGCTGTACGAAAAGATATTTAATTGTAAGCTGCAGGAAATTGTTGATGACCGTAAAGAGCAGAGCGAAGATGCAAGAAAAATATTACGCTTGCAACTATCGAAGCATATTTATGGGTTCAGGTTTCTTTCCCCTTCAATAAAATGGACTGAAATAAAGTCGCAAGCAAAATAAAGAATTGAAAGCACGTGAAAACGCGCCCAAACCAAAAGTTTAACATAAAAATGGAAAAAATAGTAAACATCTTCGTTTCCTTCGTAATTAACACCAAAAAACCTCATATACCTAGCGGCGAAGTAATATGTTCTGCTATATCATTCCATTAGTTTTATACCCAAGATTTATGTCAGTGTATTTCCGGATCATAGTTATACTTGTCTGAGATTTCGGGCTATTTCTAGAGTCAGTCATCAGAGATAAAACGTGTAAACGAAAGACAAGCAACAGTCATAGGAAGCAGGGGCCAATCAACCGTTAGGGAGGCGAGGGGGGAGGGGGAACAGTCAAACACCAGTGCCGTCAGTCCCGGGATGCTTGCGCAGTGCGATGTATGCCAGCACCAGATCGATAC